TTTAATATTCTATTAAAAAATTTACAATATTAAAATTTTGTATACTGTAGTGTTAAAATTATGATTGTTAAAATAACACATTTCATTTTTATTTTTATTTTCATTCTGAATATTCTGATATTTTAAGAATTTTATATTTTTTTATATTAATATACTAGTATTATTGAGCATGAAAATATTATTTAAAACAAATTATTTTTATAAAGTATTTTAATCAATTTTAAGTAATGATTTCATAAAAAATTAGTAATAAATTAAAAATTCCTTTTCTTTAACTAAAAATAAAATAAAAGAAAAATTTATGCTTCATAATATACTAGGATAGCATACATTTTGAATAAAACCAAGTAAACCAAGTATAGTGTTTACAATCTTACATGTACAGCATAAGTACATATTCAAGCAATAAGATGCTTGATAATATATACATATATACAAATAAACTAATAGTCTTGAATTAATTTTGTGCTATAATAAAGCGCTATATTAGGACTATTTATTTGATTCATTATAAGATGCCCTACCCGCCAATTCGAGTAAATAACGATCAGGATGATCTATCCAATCGCTAGCGCTTAATTTAACGATCCTTTGTTTTTCTGCTTCCTTTACTTGCCATTTTTTAATTTCCAATTGACGTTCCCTACAAAATTTTAAATTAAATAAATCTTCTCTGCTGAAATCTATCAGGATTAAAAATATAAAAAAAATAATTACCTTAATTTTGTGTCTCCACAACCCCAGACTTCTAAACTAGCAATTGGATAAGGTGCACCTGCAATACTGACTGAATGGAATGATTCATCTATACTAATGTATGGTGAACGAGGATTACTTCCAAATCGTAATCCATGAGGATAACCTCTGATACTAGTATTTAAATATAATACTTTAACTCCTTTTTCAATAACTCTATATGAGGGAAAAAGTTCGATACCCATTGAATTTTCGCTACCCCAATATAGATGACTTTCGCGCCATTCTACCGCTGAACATATGCAATATGTAGGACACACAGTATCTACATTTGAATTAACAGTTCGTATGAATAAAAGAGTGGGACCTCTATATCCTAATACATGATGAAGAAAACGATTAGCTCCTGTTCCATGTTCTGAGCTATTATACAACAGTGTCCAATGTCTAGCACACACATTGCCCATTCTTTTAGCTATAAGAGCATGAGTAATATCTTTTGGTGAATCATCTGCCTAAATATACATTTATTTTGTTATTTTATAATTTAATAAAAAATATATAAATTTTAAGTGAATTTATAATTATACCTGAAGATAACATTCAGGTAGTGTACTTGATAATAACCACACATAGCTCACAGGTAATAAAATTTGAGGAAAATCTAAGGAATCTGGTTGTTCTAATATAGGTGTTGGTATCTCCAAATGTGGTTGAGGTTGTCCTTTGGATAAAAGAATTTCACCATTTCGATAAGCAGTTGTAAACACATGTATTATATAACGATGAGGACCATATATTATACGTGGACAATGTTGCCAAATCCAATTACTTGCATAACTCACAGATAAAGTATGTTTGCCATGAAACTGTAATGTAATATATATTTTAATATATATATTTTATATTCAAATAGATTGAATAATTAATATTAATTAATTAACTAACACATGATACAACAGCTGCATTTATTATTTGATTTGCATAAATACAGGAAGAAATTCCACTATTATCCATAGCAATATTGTAAGAAATATTTAATAAAGCTTTTAATCCTTCAGGACTTATATTTCCATCTGCTTTTATATTAGAATACATTTTTACATAATTTTCTAATACAGTGTGATCATTCATTACAGAAAGAAACTTTTCTGCTTGTTGCTTAAAAGAATTGGTACTCAAATATGAAGTATTAATATTGGCAGAATGGTGAAGATAATTGAATAACTTTTCACCTAAGTCTAGATAATTAGGAAAGAGATAACGTTGAAATACAGATACCGTAATGCCATTTATATGTTCTTGTTCATGTGTTAAATGTGACAGAATCTGAAAAATGAACAATCTAATTAATAAATACAAATTAATTTTAAATAAATTTTATTTCTTACTAGAAATTTATAATTATATTTTATTTATAAAAATAAAAAAATGTAAAAAACAATTATATCCTTATATTTTTAAATAAAGTCAATAATGATTTAAATTTTTTATTAAAAAAAAAATTACAAAAGCAATATATTTATAGGTTATACAATTTATAATAATTATCAATGCAGAAAATCAGAAAACAATTATTTAGAAATTATACAAACTGATTTTCAAAATATAAAAGAATTGTTTGCAACAATAAATATTTTCAAAAGACGATCAAAATTTTTGCGATGTATCGAATATATCTTTGTTAATCAGTAAAAAAATAGTACTTTCGAAATAACAAGTAAAATAATCATAAATTAATTTCATACCTTTGCTAAACTTTCAATTGGAAAGAATTGCATATGCGAATTACTTTCTAATTCAGTTCCCGAAGAATTTTTCGAAAGATTATTTGCATTTGTACTATCACCGGTATGCACGGCAACATCAATTTTTTTAGTAGAAACATGTCCAGCACGTGTTACTTGATTACCCATTTCTAATAATCGAATATTAAAATACCAATAAATTTATTTTCTTATGTGTCCGTATCATCATTCATAACAACAAAACATGCATGCAACCATATGCAACTTTTCAGAAGATTGTCATGAATGATATAAAGGTAAGTGGTGCACTCACTACAAATCGAATGCATATCCCCCTCTTTTATATTGAATGCTTTTATATTGAAATACAGTTCTGTGAAGTTCTATAAAGTGTAGTTCACTAGATTATCTTCAAAAATCGAACTAATTAAAGAACAAGAACATAAATATATAATATATCAAGTTTTTTTTTAATGTTTTGTTTATGATTAAAATAAAATTAATAGAATTTATAATATCTTAATAGTTTTTAAGACCTCTTTTATTTTAGCGATTAAATAAAAAATTACTCTAGAAAAAGAAATTATCAATATAACACAAAATATTTTTCTTTTTATCAATTTAAAGTATAAGATAGATTTTAAATTATAAACTATTTATAAAATTTTATTTAGTTTTATATAAACCTGCAATAATGAATAATCGATATGCATAAAACTTGTAATTTTAAATATTACGCGCTTAGAAACGCCATATTGCATTTAGAAGCGCGCGCATCTATCATCTTCATTAGCGCGTGAGATTTGGGGGGTGGGGCGAGTTCTTTTCCAAAAGCGTGCATCGTCTGTCATCGGAAAAAAATTTGTCGGTGAGAATTCTTTTTGTATAATGTTCTAGAAAAAATATTTAAGCAATAAGTTTATCGCTTTCAAAGAACTATTTACAGATTTTTTTATCTTGTGCGTTGCAATCCGTTTAATTTATATAATAATAAAAGTGCTTAAACAAAAAAAAGAAGGTGAGACAAGAAACTAATCATAAAAAATTTTATGAGTATGCGCATATATGTAATTCATAATGTGACAGAAGGAAATATTTCGAGGGTACGTATTTGCAAAAGCAGGGTGCGCATTTCCAAATAAGGTGCTCTCAAATGTTCCAATCGTTCGTGTCAATAGCGCTACTATGTGGTCATTTACTGAATTACGATTCAATGTTATTACTAGCGGGAATGTTAAAATTATATTTAAAAAAAACATTTATTATAATATATATATATATTTATATATATATATACATATATATAACTTTGCATTGTAATCAATAAAATAAAGTAGAATAATGTTTAATCATGAACTGTACACACATGTGAATCTTTATATGTATGTGTTGTATACAAACACGTGGTAGATTAGATACAGTTAATGCGAGAAGATAGCAGTCGGCGTCAATTCATTGACGATAGCAGAACAAATAATTCAGATGTTGAAATTATTCTGTTATTTAATTTTTTAGCAGTGCAATTTAATATAATTAGTTTTCGCAACTTTTTAATTGATATGGTTCACTTCTTTCGTAGAATAAAATAAAAAAACGATATTCAGAAGAAATAATAAATATATCTTTTGAATAATCAAAAGTGAATCTTTTTTTCGTTTCTATTCCATTTAAAAAATTCTGCTCTACTTAACTGAAAGAAGTTCAACACAAATCCAATTTCTAATATGTTAATTTTATATGGAAGAATCGAAGCATGAACAAGAATATAATTGACCTAAATGTATTTTCCATATGAAAATTTTGATATTTCCCCAATTATTTTTCATTTGGCATAATATCAAAAATCGTGACATCACAAATTTAAATGTGGAAAACAAATCTGAAAATATCATAATAATGTTATTTTGACTACAATCCATACCTTAGACGGCACTGGTTGGAGTATAGTAATATAAATTCAGGAACGCTATAACGATTGGTGTGAATCATTGTCGTATAAAAGTGGCGACCGGTTTATTTTGGGTGGATCAGATTTATTTTTTATTTGATAAATTATGGTTTATCAAATATTTTAAAAGTATTCATAATAATTAGCAACTCTGAGATTAAATATAATCTAGACTGCAGGATGAGTATTAAACTTATAAACAGTAAAAGTCAGGATTCAAAAATATTCTTATTTCAGTCGCGCTCATTTCAACACGTCAAGGGTGGGGAATCTATTTATAAAACGGGGATGGTCCACGCGACGCCCACGTTGACTGTGGACACGTAACAATAATTTATTAAAATAATCATAATAAGCAGCACGACAAGATACCATTTTTATCCTTAGGTTAATCATTTTCTTCATTTTTTGTTTTGTTACTAAAAGTAGGTGCAGATATGTCTTTTCGTGTAGTGCGCAGCAGCAAGTTCCGCCACGTGTACGGAACGGCTTTGAAACGTGAACAATGTTACGATAATATAAGGGTGTCTAAATCTTCATGGGATTCAACTTTTTGTGCTGTAAACCCTAAATTCCTCGCTATCATCGTAGAATCCGCAGGCGGTGGTGCTTTTATAGTCTTGCCGCACAACAAAGTAAGTTTTACCTTTGATTATTTTATAATATCCAGTTTATCTAGAATTACTTAACATTTATTTTTTCTAAATTATATTATAATGTAAATATTTAAAAAGTAGTGTTTTGATTATTTGTATTATTATAGATAGGTCGAATACCAGCTGATTATCCTTTAGTTGGTGGACATAAAGGCCCTGTCTTAGACATTGCATGGTGTCCTCACAATGATAATGTCATAGCATCTGGTTCAGAAGACTGTGTAGTTAAAGTATGGCAAATACCTGATGGAGGTATTTCTAGGACATTAACTGAATCTGTAGTAGATCTCCAGTTACATCAACGTAGAGTCGGTCTTGTATTATGGCATCCATCAGCATTGAATATATTGCTCACAGCTGGATCAGACAATCTTGTATTGATTTGGAATGTAGGCACAGGAGAAGCCGTAGTACGAATAGATTGTCATCCAGATATGATTTACTCTGCATGTTGGAATTGGGATGGATCTAAAGTAGTTACTACATGTAAAGATAAAAAAATTAGAATCTTGGATCCAAGAAATGGAGAAATATTAGAGGAAGCTATTGCACATGAAGGTAGTAAAGCTACACGTGCAATCTTTCTGAGGTATGTAAATTTTTATTTATTTAAAATTCATAAATGAATAAGCTTTTTTTCAGTTTTTTTAATTATATTTAATTACAAATATATTATTATGCACATAAATGCTGATAAATTTTAAATAAATGTTATTGAAATATGTATTTGAGAATAATAAATATTTTTATTATGCAAAACACTATCAACATATCTTTCACATTAAATAATCATCAAACAATATACATCCGCCTTCTTACACAATAAATTTACTCAAGATAAATAAAATATTTATCTTAAAACAGATTATATTCATAGCAGATTATAGTATCTTTTAATGACATGTGATTGATCTATTTGCACATTAAAAATATCTTTACTTTTTATTATCACATGGTCTTTCCAATTTGTGTAGTGCGAGATTTGGTATTTTTTAATGGAAAACTTGAAGATTGAAATTCAACTCGGCAGGAGGATGTCAACTTAATAAATGCAAATATCAAGGTGTCCACTGTGTAATATCCACATAAAAGTTTCAGTAAGTATTGTATATCAAGTTACTATTTTAAAATATAACATTTCATATATGTTGATAAATTCAGAATATAGTATAAAATAACTACACTAATATTTAAAAGATCATTAATGCAGTTTTAAATATTGATGATATCTGTTTCGAAAAACAGACAAATCGATTCAGGTACATATATCTATTTAAAAATTCAGTAACCAGTTGATGCATTGATATTTATTTAAAAACTAACTATAATAGTTTGTTGAGCAAACAATAAGATTTTTTAATGGTCATTTTATTGTTTTATTGTTATTTCATACGTGTGTATCTAATATAAGAGACACAGTTTTCAAATGTTGTAACAAGGTGGATGTTATTCAGTTTTGATGATTAACTTAAATAAAAAAAATTCAGAAAGAAATAAAAGTAAATGATTATATCCTGTAAGGATGTAATATCTAAATATAAATAATATATTTTTATAGGATCTTATATTTGTACATGAATGTTTGTAAAACTCTGTATCCACAAAGATGTGTGTTTAATATGTTTTCAGGGGAGGCTTGATCTTTACCACAGGTTTCAGTAAAATGTCTGAGAGGCAATATTCTCTGCGTGCTCCAGATATGTTAGGTGAACCTATAGTAATGGTAGAATTGGATACAAGTAATGGAGTTATGTTTCCTTTATATGATCCTGACACAAATTTAGTGTATTTATGCGGAAAGGGTGATTCTGTGATTCGATATTTTGAAATTACCCCTGAACCTCCTTTTGTTCATTATATCAATACATTTCAAACTCCTGATCCTCAACGAGGTATAGGAATGATGCCAAAACGAGGCTGTGATGTTAATAGCTGTGAAATAACTAGATTTTACCGGCTCAACAACTCAGGTTTTTGTCAGGTTATATCTATGACTGTACCAAGAAAGGTACAATTCTCAATATATAAATTCTCAATATATAATAAATAATCGGATTTTAATCATCTTAATATTATTGATTCGTTTTCAGTCTGAATTATTTCAAGAAGATTTATATCCTGATACTCCTGGTGATACTGCTGCAATTTCTGCTGAAGAATGGGAAAATGGAATGGATGCAGATCCCATTTTAATTTCTTTAAGAGATGGCTATCAACCTTCAGTTGCTAAGAATGAGTTAAAAGTACATAAGAAATCAAATATATTAAGTAAAGGAGCAAAAGTAGCTTCTTCGAATTCTGCACAAAATGCTATACAATCTTCAGCAGGCATCACTGTATGTTATTCATTAACATAATATCATTTAATGAAAATTTTTCTAATCATTATTTGTTTTATAGGAGGAGCTTTTAAAGGAATTTACAGAAGAAATAAGAAAACTTAAAGCAGTAATAGTAAAACATGAAGGTAGAATACGGGTGCTTGAATCTGCAGTTGCTCTTCATATGAAAGAAGATGAGAAAAAAGAAAAGTCATCTTCGCCTACTGATAGAGAGGTGCTTGCATCAGACGAGGTGTAATTCTTAACTTGCGTTTTAAAGTCACGATATAAAAAGAAAAAAAATATAATTGTGTAATAAAAATGATCATATATTTTGATATAACAATTTGTGTAAATAGTAGGTTTTAGCTATTGTGTGTTCTGATTTTCTTTTTTTTTTTTTTTGCAATGACTTTTGCTATTTATTCTACATTCATTCATCATACATCCTGATCATTTGTATTATGTTTACATCTTTTATTTTATTAGATCATAACTGAAATGTAACATTATTTGTTACTAGTATTAAGATTTCGAATTTCGATTTTATTTTATGTCAAGTATACAAGATTTTTATGTATATTCAAACTTATAATTATTCAGGATAAAATTAATATCTAATTTATAGAAATATTTTGCTGTAAAATAACAAAAAATTATTTTATTTCTAATATGAATACATAATTCGCATGTTAGTTGTATTGCATAAGATAACAAAAAAAAGAGTCACTATTTTACGAACAATTTGCAAATAATAAAATACAGTATTTTTGACTAATCTGTTTTTTGACATTGTGAAAAAAAATTTGTTTTGTACAAAAAATGTGAATATAAAATGATTGATTGAAGAAAATTGTGTATATTTTTAAATAGAAATACAAAAAATTATTGTTTTAATATAAAATTATTAAAAATATATTAATTTTAAGATTAATATTTTTATGCATATGAGAAAAAATGAGTATAATTTGTCAAACGCGCCATTTAATAAATAACGAAATCTTCGAAAGATGTCGCTAAAGCAATCAGTTTACATCTGTCTTAAGTTGCTTGATCATTCATTATGGTTCATTCGCTTGTGCGAATTAGAAACGTGAAATGTATGTCTGTTTTCTTGTCGAATATGTGCATCGTTAATTTCTAGTTTCACGTATCGCACTCACCACCATTGTGCGCGGGTGTTTTCAGCGTTCTTTGTAACTGTCAATTTGTTTCACAGTAAGTATTATCAATAATATAATTACAAATATTTGTTATTGTTGCATTTTATAAATTATTTATCTATATATAATTTTTATTTTTATTTTTAATCATAATATTTCATGATATATAATAAAATATTTTTATCATTTTTTAATGAAAGAAGAATTAATGATGTTAATTTTTAAATTTTTACAAAAATTTTTTTAAAAAAATTCATATAACCTAATTTTTATAAGAATTATTTTCAAATTAGTTTTTAAAATAATGTTTTAAATGATTAATCTATTACAAAATGATTGTTACGAAATTTCATTCATTAATATTGAAATAATAGTTGATGAATATTTTTAATTTTTTTTATTCTTAATGTTGTAACATATCTGTGTATTGTATAATACATACACTTACAATATAAGTCACATTCGAAGGTATTTGGCAAGAGATTCGGGTGCTATTTTTAAGTTGCAGCTTTTCGACATCATTCTATTCTTTCGTATTATTGTAATATATATATTTTTTAATATAAACATATCACATAAAGAAGAATTACGGAAAGATTTATTCGTTTTAGAAAGAATTATCGAAAATCAAGTCAAATCTCTTTTCTGTTCAAATTAGTAAATCCTTCTATATTTTCATAAAATATAATTTTTGTTCATTTATTTACACTATATTTGTATAAAATAAAATGAAAATAAAAATAAAAGTAATACAAAATATTTACATAGTTTATATAACTCCACGTGTTTAGAAGATTATCATCAAGGTCTTATTGTGAAATATAAATTATTTCTTCATCTTTTGAAAATCAAAATATCATTATGGTTAAATATATAGTATTTAATTATAGTAGTAATATATATGATTTTTATTTATTATTATAATTTTTTATGATTGTTTTTATTTATTTTAATTATTTTATTCTAATTTAAATCTTGATTGAAAGATAGGAGAAAACGAACACGTCACCTGATAAAAAATACCTTAATGTCACGTGCATTTTTCTATATCATGTTCAATTCAGATTTATTATCAATATTTTGTTAAAATATTAATAAATATCACAATATCAATATTATTGCTTAATATAATAAGATATAATGTAAAATTTGTAAATTTTTACAAATACAAAAATTTTTAATAAAAATGAAAAACAAATCTGAATAAATATGTCTGATTTGATATTTATAACAAAATGGTTGTCGATAAAATAAAAAGTAATCGTATTAGATATTTTTGTTTTCAGTTTTATATCCATTTTTTATTTTTATTAAAATCAATTATTATATTTATTATTTCAAATTAAAAATGTATTTTTCTTTATTTAATATAAAATTTATGGCAAAAATTTTGACATTTAATATTTTAACAAAATTATTTGTAAACAAGCTTTTATTAATTTTACATATACTATATATATTTATTATATATTTTTTTATAATTGATAGTTAATAAAAATATATGCAGTAATTTAGCAATATGGATTTTCTTATTCATAAATAAGAAATTTTAATTAGTTGAATAATTATAGCACCTTGATGGAATAATAAATTTTAGGTTCACAGAGCTTTTACTTATTAGACTGATGTATTACATCATTGTATGCGTAAAAATTGTAAGCAATATGTTTGGTATGACACATCAGTATGCCACATGACACGATACAAAAAAGATATAGAAACGGTATGTCACACTCGATAGTGATAAAAGTATTTTGGGATATTTGCCAATGCATCATAAAACAAATAATGTTAAATATAGAATACTTAATACATAAATATTTAATTTTTTGAAATAAAAAATAGAAAATGTTTGATCATAATAAAGTGTTATTTACAATACACTGTGAATATTATCATGAAGCACCAATAGCAATCAAAGGAATAAAATATGAATATTTGCGAAAAATTCAAAACATTTATATGTTTTTATGATTACATATTTAAAATTCTTAAGTTGGATATATTGATTTATTTGATTGTTTTTATTTATATATTTGTAATTCTATTTTAAAATATTTCTAAATTTATTTATAATATTCAATAACATTTTTGTTACATTTCTTTTTAATAATTGCATATTTTCCTATCGTTATTGTGTACAGTGCACCTGTTGATATATTGCCAAATAACGTGAATGATGATTCATTAAATTAAATGATTAGTAATAATTAACCCATCAAAAGATTATTTCACAACCATCTATTTGATTTATTTTACTTGTTTATATAAAAGTTTACAAGTTTTTTTTAACAATTATTTATTATTCAAATAGGTATTTCATTAATTATTAAGTCTTTGTACATATTTTTTTATATATACACTATATTTTATTTATTTTCGTAAATAATAAGATTAACATCAATATAGATATATTTTTGTTAATTTGTAGATTTCTTCCGAAAACCAATTAATCTATTCCATTATAAGTGGTATAAAATGGCATCGCTGAAACTATTAGTGAGTGGTGCAAGTGCCATCGGTGCTAGTGCTCTTACTTCTTATCTATTAATGTCCGATAATACAGTAAGTATAGTTAATCATTATTTAGGTATAATAAATTTATATCTTGTTCTTTATTTTTTTTGTGATATCTTTTTTATAAAAACAAGTCATGCAATTAATACGAAAAATTTTCTCTTAAATGTTAATTGTAAAATCACATTTAAAAAAAACGGAATAAATATAACATAGTAGATTTATTGGACTTTTTTTATGTGTGTATAATTTATGATATTTTTTAACTTTTTTTATTCTCTATAATGAAATACATTAATTTTTTTACTATTATAATTATTATTATTTATTTATGATTTTTTTATAAATAAATAAATAAATATATATATATATAAAATATAATTTAAGAAAATTGTAAATCGCTATTAATAAAATTCGTGCATTTTCGCCATAAAGATTCTATAGATTATCATATTCTTAAATTTAATTTATAACATTAAGAAAATTTTACTGATTATATGCAGCAGTCAAGATTTTATAGTCACGTGGTTAACAAAATTTCATACAGAGAAGGTCTGTGCCAGGCCAGGATGAGCCATTAGGGCTCATCTATTTTTGATACACGATTGTTTTTCGGAGCTATAGATCATCTAAATATACAAACATTTCGTTTTAATTAAATAATATATCATAAAAAGTAAATAATAAATATATAAATCTATATAAAATTTAATTTATTGTATAAAAGTATGAATATGGGAATGATATTGATCAAATTATATTCGAGAAATTGAATACAATATAATTAATTAATTTTGTTGTAAACTGACTAATGATTATTCAAAGTTAACTTGCAAAGAATCACTCAATGCAATAATTGTTTTTTAATACAATAAATAATAATTCAATTTGTATAATAATAATAATTTGTGTAATAATAATAATTTAATATAGATATTGTTTTTCATTTCGTTTTACCAGTTTCATCTTTGACTGTTTTATTAACAGAAATAATCATTTTCTGTTTATTTTCAATTACTTTCACGAATAAATATAATTAAAAGTAATTAAAAAAAATAATTATTAAAATAAAAATAATATTAGCCTATTTATCAATAGGTACATGCGGATGTATGCAATCCACGGCCATTAAAGAGGCCTTTACCAACTAGAGAAGAACAAGTGAAAACATTGAAGAATACTAGCGAATATGATGTTCTTATCATAGGTGGTGGTGCAACAGGAGCTGGATGTGCATTAGATGCCTGTACACGAGGTAATTTATTCATTTATTAAATTCTCAATTACATTAACTTAGCTAATTATTGAGTATTAATTTTAACTATTTATTGTTTTTGATCTTTAGGTTTGAAAACAGCTTTAATTGAAGGAGATGATTTTGCTTCTGGCACATCTTCTAGGAGTACAAAACTTATTCATGGAGGCGTTCGTTACTTACAAAAAGCTATAATGCATGTAGATATTGAACAATATAAAATGGTTAAAGAAGCATTACAAGAACGAGCGTCTATGTTACATAGTGCGCCTCATTTGGCTCATCCTTTACCTATTATGTTGCCTGTATATACGTATGTTAATTTTTTTTAGTTTTATTTATTTGATATGAAAGCAAATATTAAAAATAATTATTATGTAATGTATATTTTATTATTTTATTATCAAAAGATGGTGGCAAATTCCCTACTTTTGGGTTGGTATAAAAATGTATGATTTTGTTGCTGGAAGAAAAACAGTAAAATCATCATATTTTCTCAGCAAAAGGAATGCATTAGAATTATTTCCCATGCTGAAAGGAGACAAACTTACAGGAGCTATTGTTTATTATGATGGTACATTATTTTTGTTATGTCTTTTGATTTTATATATTAAATATTATAATTTCATGGTCTTTATATAACAGGTCAACAAGATGATGCCAGAATGAATTTAGCAATTGCGCTGACAGCCTCGCGACATGGTGCCACAGTTGTAAATCATGTTAAAGTTGTTAATCTTTTGAAAGGCCTTGATAAGGTATTGATATTTAATTAATATTGATTATAAATCGTGATAGAAATTATATAAAAATAAATTATATTTCAAGATAATATTTTTATTTCATAAAGGATGGCAATCGAGTCCTTACTGGTGCACGTGTGAAAGACGAACTTACTGGTGAACAATGGGATGTGAAAGCAAAGGCAATAATAAACGCAACAGGTCCATTCACGGATCATATTAGAAAAATGGATGACCAAAATGTTAAAGAAATATGCTGTCCTTCTTCTGGTGTTCACATTGTTCTTCCAGGTTACTATAGGTGAATAATTGAATGGATCATAAAACTTAAATTTATAAAAATAAATGTTGAAAAATTTATAATTAATTATATAAATTTCATTTAGTCCTGATCAAATGGGTTTATTGGATCCAGAAACAAGTGATGGCCGAGTGATTTTTTTCTTACCATGGCAAAAACAAACAATTGCAGGAACAACTGATTTACCCTGCGAAATAACACATAATCCTCGACCCACTGAAGATGAAATTATGTTTATTTTACGTGAAGTAAAAAATTATCTTAATCCGGATGTTGAAGTTCGCCGGGGAGATGTATTATCTGCTTGGAGTGGAATTAGACCTCTCGTCTCTGATCCGAACAAACCGGATACTCAATCTCTTGCCAGAAATCATATTGTACATGTTAGTCCTACAAAACTTATCACAATAGCTGGAGGAAAATGGACGACATATAGATCGATGGCAGAGGAAACTATCGATGCAGCTATTAAAGGTAAAATATGATATATATATGAAAGTTTTATTAAATTTTATTATTATTTTTATATTATTTCTTAAGCTTGCGATTTAAAACCTGAAAGACCCTGTCAAACAAATGGTTTACTTCTCGAGGGAGCTCATGGTTGGAGTCCAACGATGTACATTAGACTAGTTCAAGATTTTGGTTTAGAGTGTGAAGTTGCACAACATCTGGCTAAGAGTTATGGGGATCGTGCATTCGCTGTAGCAAAAATGGCTTCTCTTACTGGTAAAAGATGGCCAATTATAGGCAAAAAACTTCATCCTGAATTTCCATATATTGATGCAGAAGTAAATCTTTTATTATTCTTAATAATTTTATTATTTTTTTATGATAACAGATAATTATTACGTATTTTAGATTCGATATGGAGTTCGTGAATATGCGAGAACAGCAATCGATATGATTGCAAGACGATTGAGATTAGCTTTTTTGAATGTTCAAGCAGCACAAGAAGCTCTTCCAGGCATCATCGATATCATGGCAGAAGAATTACATTGGTCACCAGAGGAAAAAAGCAGGCAAACAAAAGAAGCCAGTGAATTTCTTGCTAATGAAATGGGACAAATGGTCAATCGTGCATCTCGTGATAAAATTCCTATTAATCTCACAAAAGAAGAAATTCAGTTATATATTAAGCGTTTCGGAATTATCGATAAAGACAACAAAGGCTACGTTTCTATTAACGATATTAGACGAGGACTTAAGGTTTGTATAAAACATTAATTTTATGTTATTTAAATTTGTTTTTTTTTATTTCTATTTGTTTTGTTAAATACTTAATTATCAATATACAGGTACTTGGCATAAAATTGAATGAAGATGAGATACATACTTTGCTCAATGAAATTGATCTCAATTACAATGGGCAAATGGAGTTACAAGACTATTTACAGGTATGAATCGTAAAATATATACTTAATCGAAATTTCTTTTACTATTCACAGCTGTTCGGTGACAAAGAAGTACCTGGTGAAGAGCTTCATGAAATATTGCGCGAAATCGACACTAATATGAATGGTCAGGTCGAATTGGACGAATATCTTCAGGTCTGTGAAAGCTCGTGCACAAGTATAGTTTTGCTGTCGCTTTCAAATTTTTTTAGTAGTTCTATTAATATATAATATTTCTATATAATATTTAGGATTTTGTTATTTTTAATATTACTTAGAGTTGTTTTATTATATCTACTATAATATATAGAAGAATATTAAAAGAGACCTGTTGGATATAATATAATAATATAATCTGTAATACTTTATATGTTTATTTTATCATAATTTATATAACAAATTTTAATTTTTTTTTATTGCACGAATATCATGATTACATATTAATAGTAACTTGTCTAATCAAAATGTTTTGTTTTAATGTTATGATTATAATATTTTTGTGAATATTTGAATATCTTTTTGCTTCCCTTTTTTCTTTTGCAAAATATTTTAATATCATGCTGCTCTTGTGCCAGATTGTAAAACCATGATTATTTTTAAATTTTGTAAAATATGATTTTTTTTGTTTTTTAAATATTAAAACTAATTTTTTTTTTATTCAACATAGATGATGTCGGCCATAAAATCTGGACATGTGGCATATTCACGTTTTGCAAGAATGGCAGAGATGGAAGAGGCACAACATGAAAAAGAAATATTGAAAAAACAGATTAGCGTAGAAAGATCAGGTGGTGGATTGTAAAAAAATTCACATTCTGTGGCATTGTATAATTTTTCGCATGCTTCTAAATGTGATTCATACGTTTAATTCTGATGAATTCTTTCTTATAGAATTATTTTTCATTTTGAATTTTCATTGTAACTCATTTTAGTACAAATTTTTTAGAATGAGTTTTAGGCAAAATTTTCATTAGAATATTTTATTTTTAAAATATTTTTAACAAATCTATTCATTTTTTTTCGTACTTTATATAAATTTTTATCTTTATTCAACTTTCAAACTCTTAATGAATAAGACATGATGAAAAAAAGATTTTAAACATATAAATATAAATTAAATACGGCTGCGCCGTAACTTATCTATTTTAATAATCAATTTCAAATAAAAACATGATCATGATACAAATTTCAATTTTAACATGTAAATATTTTTATGTATAATGTTTCAGTTTTCATTAATAGAACAGGTTTGTTCTATTTCTATATCTGTATATAAGTTCTGAAATGCATCAATATAATTATAAAATATATTTATGTTTAAAAATATCTTGAATCGGTACAATTTTCAACTACTTTCAAGAACATAAATTTTGTGATCATATGTATAAGTTGTGAATGCTTTAAATAATATTATTATCATTAAACTTATGATTTTACAATTATCAAAAAGTTATCTTGTGTTGCAAAAGTTAAATATCAATATAATTTAATATAAAATAATATATGATTTTATTCTTATGCGTATAATTTATTATTATTTACTTATTAAAATAAAATTATCAAGTTTTAATAAATCCTTTTTATCTAAATATTAATGTTATGTAATATAATCACACATGCTATTGAATTTAGCCTGATTTTTAAAATTTTTAAGATTTGTTTATAAATTGTTAATTATAATTGTTAATATACATTAATGTATATTAAAAATCAATCTATGTCAATACATAGTTGGTCTGATTATTTAAATACTTACTTAATTTAATTTATTGTTATTAATTTCATGTAATCATAACATACTATCGATTAGATTAATTTATTTCATTTGTCATTAATCATTACCATTAATTTAATAAAAACTATATTGAACTTTTAATACATGTGTTAATTCTTAATACAATTCTTTTCAAATAAATTATTTTTATATCAATTTTTTCCTTATTAAATTAAATCTAATTGACATTTCTAAAAAATTCCTATATATAATTACTATGTACAAAATAATTGTTTTAATAAAATTGAAACATTTATAAGTCTTTAGAAAAAAAATATGAATTATCAAAAAAATGAAATCATGAATGTCTCTGATCTACAATATCGAATCATATATAATTTTTATATAATTTATTTCATTATTTCATACATATTTAATTAAAACAAAAAAGATTCCTGAAGTTTGTTTCTTGAATATAAAAAAAAGGATAGTGACATAACAAGTATGAAATTTTTTTTTTTGGATAAACATTTACAATGAATCTAGAAATCAGTTAACGTTCTTATATCATGACAGTGACAAAAAAAAGAGGAAGACTAACCCATAAGTAACAATGATATATGTATCAATATTCGCAACTTTACTCAAGCGTGGCCCTGACCGGAGGGTACTGGTAAAAAGAGGGGAAGGAAGGCCAGAGAAAGTAGGAGGTGTGCATCGTTTATCCCTCTTTGACGGGGTGGGCGTCCGACGATGTCTGCATACGCCCCTGTCTAACGAACCTCTGCTCACTGCTAGCTATCAGGAATAAGCAACGACCAATCAGAGCTTCCGTCCGATCACTTAGCGGACGGCGACGTTGCCACCTTGTGTACCGCCCCACGGCAGAAGTAGTCCTCTCATAGCGGTATTCGTAGCCTTGTTTTCGCGAGGGACGGCCGACGAACACGTTGCGATCTACGTGCACGTGTTGAAATCACGTTGAAATTATATCGTGCATCGTGGTATAAAACCAGCATAATATTGTTTCCTGAACGAAGACTTCATTTAATCAAAGAACATTGGTAGAGAGATTTTTGTTTTAAACGTCATAGAAAGAAGAGAGAATATTGGCTTGTCCTATATCTTTACTTTTGGCGGCAATTTTGAACATAGTTAATTTTCTAGTGTTACAAAACTAATGATAAAGAATAGATTTATGATTGACTTATATTTCATGTAATCATATTTTTTAAGAAAGAATACAATAATAATATACAAAGTGTATCGACCAAAAAAGGAGAACATAGATCGTTGACTACGATCACTGAGTAGTGCGCGCGCGCGCGCACATATCCCGTAACGCTTAGGTATTTATTGGTATGTAGGTGTGTAAGCGCGCTTTAAAATTGCGAATATTCAATTTAATTATTTTCTTTTTTATCTTTTTTGAAAAAACTTTATAATTGATATATTATAAAATCTTTGATTAAAATTTAGTTATTCGCTACGTTCTATAATGGCCGTCTCAGAAACATCTCTTGAGCCGAACAGATGAAACAGAAAGCGTACAAGCATAGAAGAGTTATTATTCTGGTTTTCGAAGAAAAAACAAGTGGCGGGAGAGAGTGCAGAGTGGACGTTTCTGTGGAGAAGCCACGTGCCATTCGTGAGTTAGGTGGAGTCCCATGTGCAAAGTGGGTGGAGGCTGCATCGTGAGGCTGCCTTCCCCGTTATCACAGGTACATGAACGTGTTAGTGAGCGAACAGTCGACAAGCGACCGAGTGGGCGGGTGTGACGACATACAGTGCATTTCTGTGTGGTAGTATACGCGTCCTTGCCATAGTGTGCGATATTTCGAACGCAGCGGGTGGGGCGGCAGGAACAGGGGCGTAGAGAGGCGGTCCTCGATTGGGTTCTCGAGGAATACTCTCTGGCCTTCTTTGTCTTTAAAGAGTGTTGTCTTCGCACGTGTCAATATCGTTTAAATTATTAATGTTTCTTATTTAGATGCTTCAGGACAGTTCATATGTATTGTTTTCTGTCGATTTTTCTTAAATCGCAAATGAATTTTAAGTTGTGTATAGTTTGATAAAAATAAAAAGAAAGAAGAAAGAAAGCCAAATGCAGTGTTCGAGCAGGGTAGTTACCATTATAACTAAATTGATGAAAATTTATATTTTAAATTATTTTACAATACAGCTGAATGTAATTTATGAATGGATCTTTCAGATTAAACGCTCTTCAAGTGAGCGTTTCCATATACTGCAAAATAAATAGTCAACCTAGTTCAGTATAGTAAAGAATGGATTCCTAGCATAAGAATATTTAACATAAATCTAGCATTATTAGTATTAAGAATAGATTACAAATATATTCATTATGAAGCGAAGTTTGGATGGACGAAATATCTCTCAGGTGAGATAATTAAATAATTTTATTCAATCATTTTTACAAAATTATAATAAATAGAAATAAAAGAAGCATTGATATTATTTTACAGGAGGAGATTGATGATCATGATCCTTTACAAACACAACAACAACAGCAACAACAGCAACAACAAGATGAAACTGAACAGCAACAACAATTAGAACAACAAACTGGACAACCTCAAATTCGTTTTTTAAGTGCAAATGTTTTGCAGCATTTACAGCAACAGCAAGATGTTCAGCAACAAACACAACAACAACAACAACCACAAGTTATTACTTTGCAGCAATTGCAAAATTTTGTGCCTTTACAAACTCAGCAATCACAGCATGATCAACAAAGGGCACAACCATTTCTGTGCAATCTTTACCTCAACAATTTTTACAGGTGAGAGATGCAATTTTTTAATAATAAATAATTCAAATGCGTTTTTTTTTAAGATATAATAATTACTTTAGGGTGCTCAGTTGATTAGTACTCAAACTCAAGCTGCGCTTCAGCAACAACAACAACAAACACAGCAACAGCAAACACAGCAGCAACCACAACAGCAGCAACCACAACAACAACTCAGTTATAGTGTTATACCACAGATGCAAACTGTTAACATTGATGGTCAAGAGGCACTTTTCATTCCATCTTCTGCCATGTCTGCTGCAGGAGGACATCATCAAAGTCAACCTACAATGCAATTTGCCACTGCTAATGGACAACAAGTCCAACTTGCTAGCCAGCAAGTACAGTTGGCTAATGGTCAAACTATTATTACACCACAACCAGTTAGTTTAATAAGAGCACCAAATGTCTTTCCCACTTCTATTATACAGAATATTACTGGACAGACTGTTCAATTACCAACAGGTATGTATACTATGTGTATAAAATTATTTTTATGATTATAAAGATAATGCATTTGATTCAATATTTTTTATTGTAAGGACAAAGTGTACAAGTTAGACCACTTCAATTTCCTATGCAACATGTTCAACAAACTGTACCTGTGCAAGTACCAGTTACAGCTAGTAATGGACAAACAGTTTATCAAACTGTACATTTTCCTGTTCAAGCATTGTCCAGTGTTTTCAATGTACCTGCCACACAAATGATACCACAAATCACACAAGTATGTTGATTACATAAATAAAAATTCATGAATAACAATAATAAATATATATTATTTAAAATAAAATTTGTTTGCAGCAAATTCCACAAGTGGCTCAAATAATTACACCAAATGGACAAATTCAGCAAGTTCAAATTGCTAATTTACCACAACTTCAAAGTTTACAGGTAATTATAAAAAAAAATAATGAAAATTATAAAAAGAATTATTAGATCATTGTGCATGATTTTATTAAAACAATTTTGATGTAAGAGTCAACAAGTAACGCAAGTAGCACAACAACAAGCACAACCACAAGTAGTGCAACAACAAACTCAACCACAAGTAGTACAGTCTGTACAGCAACAACAACAACAACAACAAGCAGCACAAGCTCAAGTACAACAACAACAGCAGCAGCAGGTACAACAAGTTGTACAACAAGTGATACAACAACAGCAGCAACAACAAGTTCAACAAGCACAACAATCATCTGCCGCACCTTCATCAACTGTAGCGACTTGGAGCACAACAGTAACAACTCCAAGTAATGTCCAGGTAAAAGATAGTAGAAAATACATATTAACATAAATATTTATTTTAAATTAAATTTTTTAATAAATGTTATATTATATTTTTTATAGGTACTTGGAATCGGTGCACTTGGAAGACCAATGCAAGGAAACAGTAATGTAATTACTACGAAAGATGGACAGAAAATTGATGTGCAAACGTTATCGGCTTTAACAAGACCACCGGATTCAGTCGAAGGTGATATAAAAGTAACTAGTATCGATGCCAGACAATTAGCTAGTGGTCAAGTTATACATATTCCTGCTCAATCAACACAGCCTGCTGTCCAGCCTATAACAATTGCAGGTACGTATATTAATGATTACATTATTTTTCTTATTTAATTATATTTAAAATAAAAAAGTTAACATTTTAATATATATTAATTATATTTTATAGGTACACAAGCGCAACAGCTAACTTTAATTCCTGCATCCGCGTTAGCAAATTTAACTGCCCAGCAAGGTAACATGATAAGGGGCGTTGGTAGTGGAAGTATAATGCAACTTCAACCTGCCGGCGGAATGAATGCGACAAATGGTTTTCTTCAGTCGATACCTGTGCAAAATATTCCAGGTTTGGGTAATGTACAAGTTATACCTGCAAGTGCTCTTCAGCCTGCTACTGTGCAAACACTACCTGCAACAGCAGCTACACCTATTGTCGCTGCTCCAACTGTGCAATTAGATTCAAATGATCCAACAAAATGGCAAATTTTGCAAACTCTTCAGTCGAACAATACATTGGCAACACCTACTCCTACATCACATCAACATCAAGTAACAACTGCAACATCTGCGAATATTGAAACGGATTCTAATAAGCAACATCGTAGGAGAGTTGCTTGCACATGTCCTAATTGTGGTGATGGTGATAGGTAGAATTTAAAAAAAAATCATTATTTATTTAAATTTATAATATAATTTTATAAATTTAAATTATTTGACTAGGAATAGAGATATGACTAGAAAAAGACAACATGTTTGCCACATAGCAGGCTGTAACAAAGTATACGGAAAAACAAGTCATCTTCGGGCTCATTTAAGGTGGCATACTGGAGAACGACCATTTGTCTGTAGTTGGATATTTTGTGGTAAGAAATTTACTAGATCAGATGAGCTTCAGAGGCATCGTAGGACTCATACTGGCGAAAAAAGATTTCAATGCCCAGAGTGTACTAAAAAGTTTATGCGATCAGATCATTTGACGAAACATATAAAAACACATACGAAGATTCGAAGTACGGTAAGAAAAGTTATGGTTTTATTGAAATTAATTTGATTTCTAGATGAATTATGAAAAAAATGGATTATATTGGATATATTAAAAATAATAAGTTATAGTTTTGAGATTATTTTTATGTTTTTTTGTTTTTTGTTTTTTTTTTTTTCTTTTTTTTTTAATTTAGGAAGCCGCTACTTCGACGCAGGAAGGTTCTTCCGACAGTCAATCTTCCACGGAAGAAAAAATTATTATTGCTCTCAAAGAGACGGAACAATCTGATATCGTTATTTCCGAGCAAATAGATGAAATAAAACCTCAACTGGCGAATCATGTAACAAATGATTAAAAAAAAAAAGAATTATGTTTTTCTCCGCCTTTAAAGGGTTTAGGAATAAAAGAACTTGTTAAAACATTGATTGTTATGTTAACAATGTCGAAAAAAAATTAAAAAATCTAAATAGTGTTACGTTGATTACGGCGGTGTGCACAGATCTTGCAATTATTTTTTGCAATGAAAGAAAAAAAAATGAAACTTTTTACAGGGATTATCATAATTCTCGATATAGTGAATGATCTATTTTTGTATTAAATGAATTTTGTAAATATGTATAATAATTGTATATTAATTGTAAAAAGGAAAATTTTTTGCACAAAATGAATTTTACACTTATAAACGGTTTTTGATTTTATGTGACTCGTAGAGATTTTCAGTCTTTCTCCTTATAGTGAAATTTTTATAATATATAGAGACAATAACATTATATTTAATTAATCTTTTCAGGTATATTATTTGAATAAAATAGTACATAGAATAAAAAGATAAAAGGTAAGATGTTTAATTGCTTTTATTTATTATTTATATAAAAGCAGACTTTTCTTAAAAAAGAATTTTATTTCATTACTTTTATTTGTGTGTTAATATATGTTAATTATATTTTTTATGGATAATAATTTCTATATATATATATAGAATATTCATAGTAGAATAGTATATTCATATTTGTCATTTTTTTTTCTTACATTTTTAATGTATTATATAAAACATTATTTTTTTTATGATGAAAAACAGAAATATGTATTTTATTTTTAATTTTTTGAAATCTCAAAATTATTTATTACTTTTCCAACTTTTTAATATATTAAAAGAAAAATAAAAATTATTTTTATTATTGCAACTATTATTTAATTCCCGAATTGCATGAAATAAATAAATAAATTAAATTATGATTAGAAATGAAATGTTTAAAAATGGATGTATATATCTGAAAAGCAAGGATGCGGATCTTATTTCAATAACCAATAATATTATAGTTACAAAGGAAAGAAGATATGTTCTCATTTTAATGGTATGACTTTAAGAGCTTTCAGGTGTGGTACATTCAAGTGTATTCGTATGTACTGTTCGATCGAATATGACTCGTCAATGGTATAAACAAACGCTTGAATTTTATCGAGATGTGCATTAATTTAATCATTTATACGTGTGACGAGTTTATTTCAACTTATATTCATCATAAAAAATAACAGTGTATCTGAATATTTTGAGTCTGGAAAACTTTAGAATGTTATAGATTCAATTCGTTCATAATGATTCAGAAATTGATATAAAGTGCGGTAGTTTCAAAGACCATTCTATTCTGGATATAAAATCATTTTGTTAATTTTAGGTAAATAATTTATAATTTATCATATCATATACAAAAATTTAACATATGTTCTTAAATAATCATAAAACTTATAATACGAATGTAAAATATTGAAGAAAATATTGAAATTATTTTTGTGCTAACCTAATTGTAGTGTTTTCTGTGTAGGAAGTCTAATCTTATCTTATAAAATATTTAGCCTTAAAGTCTAAAGGCTTTAGCCTTTGTATGTTGTATTATTAATAATTTAATTATTTATAAGAATTGATTGAGATTTATTTAAATTAATCATTTTTTTTTATAATATATTTTTATTAGGAGTAGTGAATATTTCTGTAAAAATTAAATATAAGGATGCCTGCACCACCTCCACCTCCACCTCCTGTTTTCAATACATCTGGATCTAATGTAGGAAGCCAAGATAGAAGTTTACTTCTTCAATCAATTAGAGCTGGAAAAATCTTAAAAAAAACTATCACAATAGATAAAAGTGCACCTTTAGTTAGCGGTATGTTGTAAAATATATTTATTTTTTTCCAAATTATGTTTGTAATATAATAATTATTATTATTATTTTAGGTAGAGTAAAAACTGAATTAGGAAACTCTTCTTCTTTGAATATCAAAGAAAATAATTCTAATGTAGTTAACAGCAGCATTAATGCAAATAATGGAGGACCTATAGGATTAGGTGGATTATTTTCTAGTGGTATGCCTAAATTGAAACCTATAGGATCTAGAATGACTTCAACTGAAAAAAATACTAACAATATAAATAATATAAACTTGAATCAATCAACTGTCCCTAGTATAAAAAGAGGTCCACCTCCAGTCCCACCACCAGCTACTCAAAAGCCACAAATATTTGCTCAGGTAAAAATATTTAAAAAATTATATGTTTATAAAATCTAATAAATTTTAAGATTTTTTTTGTTTTAGAAAACAAATTCAATACCAGGACAAAATACTACAGATTATACTAGTTCAAATACTGAAGTATCTAAAGGATTTGGAAAACCTACTCTTGCACCAAAACCACCTTCCACATCCTCATCTGCATTGCACAAACCATCACCACCTCCTAAAAAATTAAACTTAACTACTGGAGGAAGTGTATCAAGAGCACAAAGTATGCGATTACCTAGATCACCTCCTGTACTTGCTCCAACTCCATCTTCTCTTCATCAGTCTCAAGATTGCTTAAATGAAACCCAACCAAGACCTACAAATCGAATACTTAGACCTCCAATCGCGAAACCTCCATCTCCTCCAACTTCTAGAACAAATAATACAATTACCACTGCAACTAGAGTAGCACCACCACCACCTTCTAGAATAACTGTTAGTGCTCCATGTATACCACCTCCACCTCCTCCTCTTCCTCATCGTCCAACTCCTACTCATCAAAGATTGGCTCCACCACCACCACCACCGCCGACACCACCTACAAGAAGTTCTTCTATGCGCAATGGACAAACAATGAACATTTTAGATTTAGAGCTTCGATTTGCAGATATGTTTCATTCTATTGCAAATTTTCCATCACCAGAACCATTTAAAGGATTTACAAAAATCTACAGTAGCAGAAATGGTGAGAATGATACACTTCAATGTCAATTGTACTCTTTCTTGAATCATAATATTAGACAATATACTGCAGAATTGTTTATGTAAATTTTATAATTTAAAATAGAACATTTGTACATCTAAGAATATTCATCACATTTTGCATGATTTGCTATTAACAATAATTTATTATATTTGATTACTTACATATTTTATATTTATATTTTATAGATTAATTAATTTATTTTATTTCATAATAAAAAATTTATTTTTTCTTTCACAAAATAAAATTATGTTTGAAAAATGAATTGTATTTTAACTTAATTAATTCTAATTGCTTATTATATATTAAAATATATTAAGAAATTGTAAATATTTTATAAACTAATTAAATCATTAGCATTAATGTTAATTACTTATATTACATGATGCACATTTTCAAAATCCAATTGCATGTTAAACTATTGATAGTAATTTTTAATAAACAAAATTAAGATTTATTTAAAAAAAAGTAATAACAATATTTAAAAATTCCAGCTGCAAAACAGCAAGCTCCTGCGCCACCAATGTCTTCTATATCCAATACAATGGTACCATTAAACACATCATCTGGGGGTTAATTGTAACAATACAGTACTTCTTTGATATATTAAAAGTTTACAAATAATTTGTTATATTTATTATGTCATATGATTAGTTAATAATTTTTAAAATATTACAACGAAAAAAAAATTTAGATGAACAGAAAAAAAAACCAGAATAAAAGTATTAAAATTTACATATTATAAAATATTCAACATTTTAAGTTCATAAAGAATAAGATATCGATTTTAATATTTTTCATAGTTATATATTCTTCTTATAAATTGCAGTATATTATACTGTGTTGAACAAAGAATTATTTTTAAAAAAATAACTGAGTTTATACATAAATAATTGATCATGTAAATCATCTATATCAATGTAATAATATTTTGAATGGTTTTATGATAAGGATAGAATCTTATATATCTTTATTTATAACAACGATTTTTTATTAACTAATATACAATATTAAATATTAGAATTCTTTTAGATATAATTTATTTTAGCTGGCAGTTAAACGATGTGAAACTTTCCTAATTCTATATTGTTAAATTGAAGACTTAATCTATTTTGCAAATTTTATGTTAATAAACAATGATTTTAATGCTCTTTCATAATTTTATTTAAAATAGACAATATAATCTCTGCGATAGTATCGATATAAATAAATCAAAAATATTCATTATCCCAATATAAAAATAAATATTTTTATTTTCTTGCAAACTTCGAATTAATTGAAACTTTCACATCGGTAATTTAACTCGGGACAATGCAAAAATTCATAATACAATTAAAATAATTTTTACATTTCGAGTTCCTTTTCAATTATCTTACGATATTCGTCAAAACCTCCTTCGATACATCGAACAGAACCTTCAGCACATACCCAAAGTTCAGTGCATACCATGCGAATTAATCTTTCATCATGTGAAACTAATATAACACCTGCCTGAAAGATTTATTAAAAAAATGATTGTAATATAATTTAAAATAGAAACAAATAAATTAAAAACAAAAATTTTTACCTGACATGCATTTAGTGCTTTACCTAAAGCTTCAATAGATTCAATATCCAAATGATTTGTAGGTTCATCAAGTACTAAAAAGTTTGGCATAGCAGCACACATTAATGCAAATGCTACTCTAGATTTTTGTCCTCCAGATAAAGAATTAATAGATTGCAAAGCTAAGTTACCACTTATTCCAAAACTTCCAAGCATTCTTCTATATTCTTCAATTGGTTTTCCTGAAATAATCAAATAGTATAAAAAGAGAATTACAAATTTTCAATATTAATAATATATAAATTTCAAATAAATTCATACCTGGAAAATGATTTTGTAATAATTCAACTGGACATACACGCATATCTAGTTGATCTACATGATGTTGACTAAAATATCCAAATTTTAAATTTCTATGAACATGCACTGTACCTCGTGTTGGACTTAATGCACCTGTTATGATCTTTAAAAGAGTAGTTTTACCAGCACCATTTTCTCCTACGATACAAATGCGAGATTGTAAGCTAGCAGTCAAGTTCACAGAACTGAATATATATGAATTATCATTTCCTCCAATATAACTAAAGGAGACTTCATTAAGTTGTAATATTGGAGGACTTAATGGTTCAACATCTGGAAAGCGAA